GAATTGGTTCATATACAATCCGTTTACTATTACTTTTACATCATCAATCATTACTGTTTCTGATCAAATCCCACAATGGGATTCAAATACACGTCACTATTCAAATCCATATATGATCATCCGAATGGTGGTGAGCTGGGGATCTTACTGATTTAAAATCACTCTAACAAAAGCACCAGTCAATCTAAGTAATATAATGACAAGGAAAGCGTCAAACCCACAAGGATTTTTGATTAACTAAATGCAAAAAATAATTAATCCTAAATTTATTTGAACAATCCAAAAAAAAAGAATTTTTAATTAAAAATAACTAAAAAAGAATAACAATTAAAATAAAAATAACCAAGATATGAGGTACTAAGGTGTACAACTTTATCATAACCAACCAACATAGATTTCAGATTATTATGCTTTCAAGATGTTACTACTCATGTAATAACAGGATTTCCTATCCTATTCAATATACTTTCTTAAGTTATACCAAACTTATTTTCACCTATTAACCCACCAAATCTTCATATGAATTTAAACAAATAAAGATGCATTATATTCTATAAAATTCCCTAGTTTACATAGAAAATTAAATCCACTTATCACTAATGCTGCATAAATCACATCAGTCTATATATCTCTAACTTTCGTTCAATTCATGATATAAATTATTAGAAGTTATAGCATAAAAGCTCCTCTCGATCTCAATTATGCTCACCAAATCAATTTTAATGGTGATAGAGCATTTAAAAAACATTAAGAACAATAATATATATTCTTCGTGAAATAACAATTTCAAAAACATAAAAACCTAGATCAAATTTATTAGGCTACATCATAACCTTAGTCAACTAAATTAGTTTATAATAAAAGTATTAAAACTTGATATCATAATTATGAACATAAGAATATCAACCAACAAATAAAAATAATTTGAGAAAAATACAACTCAATTTAAGGAAATTGATATCCTTGACATTTTATTATTGATGAATCCTTGTTGCTTCCTCTATTTCAATCTCCAGCTGCCTAAGCCTCTGCAAAAACTTTTTAAATTTCTAATCTTGAATGAGTATTTATAAGAGTGTAGAAAACCTATTTGACATAGACCTGAGACACACACCAAAATAACTTGCACCGGACAGACTCGCTGAAATTGCCCAAGGGTCGACACCCTGAAAAAGGTGCTGATACCTTTACTAAATCGCTGAATGAAAAGTCCGTGTTCCATTTTCAACTTTCTAAGCAATTTTGGTTAATGGCAAAATGACAGAACTGGTCCACACCTTCTAGTTTCTGCAAAATTTAATCCTCAGCTTTCTGATCTCTGCTGTTTGGTTCTAAAAGTTATAATTTCTTCCAATTATGTCCTTTCCCACACAAAAAATGAAAATTATGAAAAATCATGAAAAATCTCATAAAACTCATCCAATCATGAATAATATCAAGGCAAAAATTCCACAACAATACATATGAAATTCCAACTTATCAATTCTCTTCCTTCTCTTCCATAATTATCACGTATGCTATATGCATACTATTTGTCAAACCTCTCTGTGCCAACCTAAATCAAGAAACAACTGAATTTTTAGCAATAAGCACTTAATACAGCACTATGAAGCGCTAAGCAACAAGACATCGTATGCTACATGTCAAATTTAGACAATGTCTAAAGGGGGAAGGAGGAAGTAGGAGAAAGATAGCTGATGCACCGTTTTCCATTATGGTGTGAATAACAGACAAGCTGCAGTTCATGAAACTGGCTTTAACATCAGAAAGAGGAATCAAACATATAATTTGTGAAAAATTAGTTGAAAAATACTTTTTAACTGCAAATCTACTTCACTTCACTCTCATACATTCTTTTTCAAGTTCTTTGTTGACAAGAAAAAGAAATATTTAAAAGAGGATGAAAAGAAAAACAATTCAATCATTATCCTGGGACCAAATAACAGCAATGTAATCTGCACATTAACATTTATACATGAACACCATAGCACTTACCCTCTAAGAGAACTCAGCTCTCCAAAATGCTAGGGCATCATCAAGCTTCAGCCCAACACCCTGAACAGTGAAGAAAAGTAATAAACAAAAGGAGCATCATGAAAAGAGAAAGTGTTAAGGAAAACAATTTCATGATATTATCTGTGTTCAACATATGTGCTCTCCCATTTATTACTGCAAATAATTGTTTTACCCTGTTACTGCACATGTATGATGTATAAAATGGTGAATAAGGATGATATTCTTGCATACCAGATTGAAGCTACAGTGCAACAAATTATTCATTTCAGTAACTTAAGCTAGAACACAATGATAAAATGGGACATCCTGGAGTATGGATACAATCTAAAAGTGCATAAGTTACGCATGCAAATCATACATTAACAAAGAGGATATCTGAACATAACTGAAATGAAAGCATTGATGATCTTGGTTTCTGAAGTCCACACAATGACATATCCAGCACTTAGATATAAGTATCATGCATTGTGGATCTAACTTCCCTAGTTCACCTCCTTGAAAAGCTAATATTAGGTTAAGTTATATCAAGTAGAAACTTTTAAAGATTAATGAGTACAACTTTCAAGAAAAGACCTAACTGCATCCTCCCTCCATGCTTTAAATGATGATCCTCTCTGAGCTACAATGAAATGGTAATAGAATAAATTAAAAATAAAAATAAAACTCAAAAGAGACAGCAACAAAAAGTACAGATCATATATTGAGAGGGAGTTGCAATCAACTTGCAAGAGAGTGATAACAAGACTATACAATACAATTTCTTACCTTGTCAAATAAGTGACACATACATAGAGGAAATGAAGTTTTTGCAACTTGATCAAGGTCTTTAATTGAAATTTCCCTAAATTCTTTTGGCTGAATGTCAATTAAATTTATAAAGATCAATTTCAACATCCATAAATGGAGTTAAATAAATGATCTGACACAATGATGTAATTTACCTGAGGATAGTCAGGTCCAAGATAGCTTGCGTTTAGGGTTTCCACAATCTAAACATCACATAAGAAGTTGATATAAAATAAAAAGTCCTTTCTGACAAACAAGGTTCACGTTCCATTACTAACCAAGGTCAGTCGGTAGATGTCCATTTTGTACAAGCAAAATTTGAGAATTTAAAAACCAGAATACTTTAAAGTTCTACCCCAGTGCTAATAATAGCATACTAATGACAAGAACAATGCACTTGCAATAAGACAAAACACTTATCAAACATTTCATATATCCTTTTCTATGTTTGTGAGTACATAGAACAATTTTACGACTTAGATTTGAAAATAACAGCACATCATTGGAATCTCAAACATACATAAACTAACCTAAATTTTAGAATGAGTACCTTTGACAGATGACTTCAAAATTGTGTAACAAAAGAAATCAGCTAAGAAGTTTTTAGACAGAGGCGGAGATATAAGAAGCATAAATGATAAATATTTTTATGATATCCAGTGCTTGTTGGTTAAATTCAATCTTACCTGATTCATAGCAACATAAGCATATCCTTTATGTACATATACTCGGCAACTGCCTACAAGTTCTGGAACTTCTTCAAACGGTACCTTCATTAGGAGTGGTATGCAAATCAGCAGAGTCAACAAAAATAATGTCTGTAGTTTCACATGTGAGTGGTATCCTAAATAAGAAGGATGTTGGTTAAGTGGGAAGAATATATACATTAGGACTCAAGAACCTATCAGCCTGAGCTTTTGAGTTCAAGGTGTCCAACATGCATACATTGGGCCTTATGCATGCTCATGACAGGTCTATCACCACAAAATTTCATATTTTATACTAAAAGAGGGGAAATTTTTCCCTTCCAGAGATGCCTAATTGTAGCTTTAAGAAGACTGAAACCATCATTACTGAACCACAAATCAACCTGATTAAATGATAATAAGATTAAAAGGAGCAAAATTTCCCTTTCTTTTCCGGCCATGCATACATCACTATGGTCAATGGTTGAAATTGGAGAAGAAAATTGCATACGCCATACATGCCTGTGAGATATTTACGGTCTTTTCTCCTATTTTGCAAATCTTCTTCACTAATAGCCAATCAATATTGCATATATATTATACAGACATAGAAGAAGAATCAGGAAAAGAAAAGGCTACCTTGTAGAATATAGCATCAGCTGCAAAACAATCAAGAAAAGGAAAAATAAATGAGAGAGATTTAATCACAGCATCAATGAAACATTAAAGAAAAGTCATAACTACTTTTCTAAAAATCTATTGATTAATCTACCCATCATGGTTCTTTTTTTTAATTTTAATGAAAAAAATTTTCTAAACACCATGATTACCATCTATAAAGAAATTACTATAAATGAGAGGAAGCATTATAATTAGGAAGAAAATGATGGCAATGTTTTGCCTTTTTTTTTCAATGAAGCCAGTTGATAATCTTCTCCTACCAGTGGGTAAAGGCTGACTGATGGAATGAGCAACTTGGCCCAATTTTTCCTTTAAGTTCTATTGATAAACAAAATAGAGAAGGGAATTACAATTAATTAGAACTTAGAAATTTAAAGAATACTGAAATCACATTTAGTTTGAGAAACACTATGTCAAGAATACCACAATAAGCTTGCAAGAAATCATATGTTCTGAAATTAAATGCCACAAATCACTAAAGCAATGGAGCTTAATTACCTCAAATTCAGCATCGCTGACTGGCTTGAATGAAATGTCAAATTCTGCCATCAAAACCCTCTAAGCATTGTACAAAAACCAATCAACCTCCACAAAAATAATGATATACCAAAAAGTTAAAAGAAAGGACAATCCTACCTGTGCTTCAGAACCTTCAAGATGAAATCAGTAGCAAAAGAGGTTGATTTCCACAGAAAGAAACCATTTCCTCAACTCCTCACTAGCAATAAATTAAAAGACAAAAAAAGAAAAAAAAATCATGGAACAATGATGCACAGAGAATAGAAATAAAAGCATTACAAGCTTATGTTCTACAATACACAAGGCAGAGAGCAGAGTGTGATATTATATCCTTGCTCACAATCTCAGAAGCCTGTGGATGCCTCATATTTGCTTTCCATAGATCCCTTGTCTGAGCAGGTCCATAAGTAAAACTGGAATAAGGGAAGGCAATGACCCAAAACAGAGAAGGGGATTGAAGAAAACAAATATGCATAACACTAAACTCGAAAATCAATAGTTTTACCAATTTTTCCATTTCTTGAGGTTTCTTTCCTCGAGACAATCCATCAGAAATCCCTTTCAAAACTCTATCCAGCAATTGCAAAATCAAACAGAATAAAACCTAAATCAAACTTTCTCAAATTTCTATCATGCAAATATCATTTCACCATCATCAATTTTCCAATGTTCAATAGATCTATTAGGCACAACGGAGGGAAAATTTCAACTTCTTGAACGTCTTAAAAAGTAGAATGTCCTGAATCATCACTTTGCTTAATTTCTTCTTCTTTCATTATTAAATTATGCTCACTCGAGAAATCATCGGAAAATAAGTCCTGATGGCAAAGTAACCACCGGAAAATGCTCAGTAGAATGTCCTAATTTCCTAAACACATTACTCCTGACGGCAAAACAACCACAGGAAAATGAGTCCGATTGGTTCATTCCCTGATCTGTGACGCTCTCTCAGTAATATAACAGTAATCGAAGGGGGAAAATTAGAAATTCTGGAATTATCATTGTTGAACAAATGAAATTGGGAGAAAACAGTGAAGAAAATGAATAAAAAAGAGAAGAGCCTACCTCGGAGACAATCCAAGGCGAAGAATTCAAAATCCAGGAGACGGACATCGAGGGAAGGGACAGATCGGTAGAGAGGCAGAGTGGAAACGGCAACATCGTTACGGATGGATTTTCGGGCGAGATCCAATTACTTCCACCTTTCCCTTTTATCCTGATTGAATTGAACGTTTTTAAGAAAATAATGTTAAATGAAATGCGAAAAGTGCGCCAAAGTTGTAGGGGAAATGGCGGGAAAATGTCACACCGCCGAGCACAACTCCATTGGATTCTAATCCGAACGAAATCACTACCTCCCGTGAGGCCAAAGCCGAGAGCCCCTTCAATTTGTTTCTGCTTTTATTTTATTTTATTTTATTTTAAGTTACATAATAAAAAATATATTTTTTATTACACTTTATAAAAAAGAATTTTTTTTTTGAATAAATTTGTAAGGGATTCTATTCAAACCTTACTTGAAAGTGAAAGAATACATTTACCCGTGACCTGCCATAACTGAACCTTTGACTCAAGTGCTATAAAAATGAAATAACTGAAATAACCTTTTAAATAGTTTTACATATTTTGATAGGATATTTTTATTTTATTAAAATTTATAATATATATTTAGTTATCTAATAATATAATAATTATAAATTAATTTTATAAAAAATATTTTTCATATATAATTCCTATACCCTTTTCACTTGCATGCCTATAACTCAACTCAAAGCTCTTATTTTCATTCAAGAGGGTGAGATGAGGTGGCTTTGAACTAGTGTTATCAAATACCGTTTAATATGATAAGTACATATCAATTTTTAAAAATAATTAAAATTATATAAAATGAAATTTTGTTTCGGTTAAAAGTTGGGTGATTTAGTCAAAATTTAATGTAACGATCAAAATTTCATTGTATTGGCTAGTACATTGAAATTTTGATCAGTATAAATACTACCCAAATTTAAAAAAAAAAAAAAAAGAAGAAAGAATTCCCCAAAACGATGTCATTTTGGCTAGGAGCTTCTTAATTATCCTTGCAATTTCAAATTTCAGTGTTGCCTTGCCAACCTCTGATCCTCGACCTTGACTCCTCGCCGGTGGTGCAAGCATGCAGCTGCGACTCCCTTTTCTTGTTTCGCAAATCGGACATGACTTGGAGAGTGATTCATGGGCTAAGGGCGTCTTAATTACCTCTACAATTTCATATTGCAGTGTTGCCCTGCCATCCTTGGATCCTTAACCTCAACTCCTCGCCAGTGGTGCAGGTGTGCAGCTATTGCTTCATCTTATCGTTAGCTTCTGCAACTTCAAGTCTCGCCAGAGGATTCACGTTGTCAAATCCAGCTCTAGTTCCATTGACACGGCTCTCATTGAAGCCTTCAAGTCCGCCATAAACCTTTTCTACAATGAGACTTTTCCTGTTAAACGTACTAAAAAGGTGAAAGCTTTTTTTGTGTGTATGGTGCGGTGTGGCATTCTTTTGCTTTGTTTTGTAGCTTAGTTTTTACTTTTGGTTTGTTTGAGCGTCTAAAAAGTTTGGTAAAGCAAAAGGAATTCAATTTTATGCAGAAGAAGAAAGGTTAATGGTAGAAGAAAGAAAGGATTCCCAAGTACATTAGTTTATCTTATAATTATTTTAAAATTTAAAATTTAATATATAAAAATATATATTTATAATAATAAATTTAAAGAAATACATGAAAAATTCTAATATTTAGTACATAAAAATTTTTAATTTTCAGTACGATACTTATATCAATATAATATTGAGAATTTTGCTTTAAACTCGCGCTCTCTTTTTATTAGACCTCTTTTTTCTTGACTTTTTAAACCATGTTTCTAATAATTTTTAAATAAAATTTTTGTTTATAACTTGAATTATATTAAATTACATAATTTAATTTATTATATAATAGGTAAATTTCCCCAACAGCAATTCAAAAAAAAAAAAAAAACTCTTAAATCTAGAAGTATCTTTAATTTAAGGCAAGAAGAGGGAAGTGAAGACCTTTCTTTTATTCTTTATTTTTAATTATTTAATTTATCAAAATAAAAGAGAAGAGGGGAAATAAAAGAATAGTTTATGACCCACGAGTGAGTAGATAAGTTGACAGAGAACTCTTTCAATTTAACCAAAAGTATTCGTTTTAAGTTTTGGGAATGCAGTTCCGTTAAAACTTGTAAGAGAGAGTTTTACCTCCCATTGAATCTTACCCGGCTCAAATACGGATTAGTCGGTGACCCAAAAAGCTTTCAGATACCGAATAATCCATACCAAAAAAAATAAAAGAATAATTTATGTACAGTTAAGCATAATGCACAACCAACAACCTGTTGGTCAAAGTAGAAAGAGTTCGGTTCTCCTTAAATAAGATTTTGAATTTGAGTCTTGTGAATGAAAAAACAAGTGCTTTGAGAACTTCTCCCCAGATGAGGTCTAACCTGACTCAATTTCAAATTAATCAGGTCCAATATGATTTCTGAATACTAAAAGATTAATGAAAAAAAAAAAGAAGCATAACGCACAACATTAACCTTTGAGGAGTGCTAGGAACACTTGCCTCCTGCACACTCCGGCCAACACTTTCACTTTTATTGGGTCAGTTATTCTGGTCGATAAGAGGTTGCACTCTGAATCTGAAGCCTGAAACGAGCTTACGTGGCCCAATGAAAGGGGAAGTGTTTGCCGGAGAGTGCAAGAGGCAAGTGCCCCTAGCACTGCTCTTAACATTTTTTCCCTAAATTTTACTGATGGTGTGTTGCCCTTACGAAGGTTAAAATGTACTGAACTTTTTATAAATAATACAAATAATCACTAGAAAGCAATTACAGTACAAGAACAAAAATTTACTTAAAATTAAAAATTAGTGACATTAAGACGTACTTCTTTGTATACCGTGTAATGCCCGCAAAAAATAGTTCGAATTGTATTGTCCTAGATGGGCAATTATTTTGCATACTGGATTCTCTTTACCTTATCCATCCAGCTATCTTTCCAGCACCCACCATCCATGCAGGTGAACAAATTCACCCAGAGTTCAAAAACAAAGGTAATATTACTCCGGGTTTGGAAAATTCTACTCTCTCCGTTTCAAGATAATAGACCTTTTAAAAAAAAAAAAATTATCTTTACATTAGAAATTTTAAAATAAATTCTATTTTTACCCCCTTTTTTTTTTAACATATTACAATTTTGAAAGAAAAAATTTGAACCTCGACCCTAAGGCTCAGAGATATACTTTACCATGGGATATAAAACCATCTGTCACAAAAGTGTCTATTTTTACGTACTTTATTCTTTAAAAAAAAAAAATTATAATATAATATATAGAATTACAACGTAGTTTTAAAAGCACGATCCTCAGGATTGATGCCTACTTGCGCGCATTTGTTGCACTGCACGTGTAGCACTGTATGTTCTTAATAGAAATGGAGCGCTCCCACCAGAAAACACCCCTGATAGACCAGAACCTGAAGACCCGTTACTTTTATTTTCTGGAACATGAATGGCATTGGCAGCCTCAGGACCAGTTGATGATTCGCCAACTTCCTAAAAGCAAATAAGCAAGCATCAAGATTAGAAGGATTCTTTTCAAAAGTGTGTGTGCAATGCATGCATATATGTTTTGGTGTGTCTGTGTACAAAGTTAACCTTTAGGCCTAAGGCCGAGACAGCATGTCTTGGGGATTGCTGAACCTGCAAGAAGATAACTCAGGTGATGGTTAAAAGAACCAAAAAGAACGTTGAGGGTCAAGTGGTGGAGCGTGAGCAAGTGCAACTCTTTATTTCTTCATGCAGACAGGACAACAAAGTTGGCTTTAAGAAGAAAAAATCTCAAAAATATTCATTGAATCTAAACTTATTATGGTACTAAATTCCACGGTACATACAAAATAAACAACAAAAAATATTATCTATCTATTGTTGCAGTGATAAAATACATCTCCTGCAGTGAAAACATGAGAAAAGTAAGAAAACAGACTGTCTTGAAAGGAACTAACCTTGGGAGACCCATTAGAATCATCAAGTGGAGGTAGAACAGCAGGCAATGACTCAGTCTGCTTGAGCACAAAGAAAATTCAGTACTAACATAACATGCAATTTTTTACTTAAAGCACCTTTTTGCCCTCGGCAGGCAAAAATGCATGAAATTATGAGATTGTCCTACATTTAATGAAAGAACTTAAATGAACTCAATCTTGTAAAAGTTTAAAGGCCCAAAAGGCTAGTCCAAGGAACTTCTACAATTTGCATCTGTATGCATGCCAAACATATTGATGGGAGACTTCCATCATCCAAACAGAATGAATTTCAGAATGCCAAAATATTAAACTTAAGACTTACCCTTGATGGTGTTATAGATGGAGGTTCAAGAGCTAGCCTGGAAGAGTTGGATGGCAAAGCCTGCATGATTAAAACACAACATGGTCAAACATAAAACAGATGTTGAGGAAATAAGTTGAGCAGCAAGCACAAAATCAGTGCCTAGATCCAACATAAAAAACAATGCTAGACAAATTGCCCAATACAGAATTGTTCATGTGATCCGATTTTTGTGTGCAGTAAACCATTAAAAAAATGAGGTCTTAAAATATGCATACCACTACTGGCAACTAATTCATGATTAGATCCACACAATAAAATAGGAATATAATAAACTTCATATCATACCTGAATTGGATCTGTGGATCTATGATGTTCCAAGCTCTGAGCAGCAATACACACCTTGACTATTCCTTTAATTGAATTATCCTGACACAGATAAATAAAGTCAATATCAGTTAAAGAAGCAGTTAAAGCTAAAAAAAAATCATTTATTGCAAAGCAAAGTTATGTTGTTATAAAAGAATTACCTGCTTCAATTCAAGTCTATTAATCTTGCTTTCCTGTGACACCCAAAAATGTTTACTGTCTTAATTTCACATCCAGAAGTATGCCTTTAACTGCATCATAGTAAAGGCAGAACCTACAGTTAAGAGACTGCTAGACTGCTTACCAAGTTTTTGACTGCAGAACGAACAGAATGAACATCATTGTTTATCAGGTTTGATTTATCATGAACCTTAGAAACCTGCAACAAAAATGAATTTTCTGTGAATAACATTGAAACCTCCTACATAAGAGTCAAATTACTTGACATACTTATTCAAGTTATACTAGGCTCACCTCATCCTGAGTAGCAGCTGTAATATTTGCAATTTCACCCAAACGATTATCCAAGCGACCAATGTCTGAAGACAACTTCCGCCTGGTGACCTGCAAGCAGGCAAGAAAAACAGAAAAAAGAAGAGAAACACAGAGAGCTCAGCATATAGGATAGGGAATGTATGAAGTAGTTAAGAGTAACCAAGTCATAATCCATGGCAGTCATTATACTAACAAAGTAAAAAAGGTAAATAAAATTTTTTTCCAAAGGTTTAAAATCTCTATGCACAAATTTCTAACGCTAATCCAATCAACTATGTTGTCCTTAAGCACAATAACATGCTCAGAAGAATTATTTACCACTTAAGAATCATGACCATGGTCAATGAAGACAGTTTGATATTGCATAACCAGCTAGTAATGGATAGAATGTCATAAGAGCATTTATCAGCCAACGTAGTGAAGAAATGGACTAATACAACAGGCATTTTATCCTCCATTAACTTCATATGCTTAACACAACTGATAGTCTAACTATTAAATAAGTCTAACTCAAAAAAGTAAGATTGGTTTGACAGAGGATTCTAAATGAGGGATTTTAATGGAGAAAATATGAAGAAAGGAACTTCAAATTCCTTTTCGAAATGATCTCTCATGTCAAAAATGTTTTGGCTGTAATATAAAAGTTTGCCATTTAAAATATCATTTATAAGGTGGTTTTTTGAAATCCCTCCTTCTAATCCTCATTTCCCTAACTAAACTATAATCTTTCTTCCTCCTTGACAAAGAAAGAGGAAGTTGAAATTCTTCCACATTTTCTTATGAAATCCCACCATGAAATCCTTTATCCAAACACAACTTAAGAGTTATAGTCAAATCTCAAATTCCTCAATATATATTATAAATTTATTTACATATTACTAAACCATTCTTACCACAACTTTATCATAGTGATGTCAAAAGAAGACTCCAGGAAGAAAAATAAAGTCATTAAAGCAAAGGGACAGATTACAGAAATGAGCCAATAGAAAGAGAACTTGCCGATATTGATGAGTAAACGTTCTCAAGCTCTTTGGCTATCACATTACATGCATCAGATAAACCTCGTCTAGTTGCAAACATCATGTCAGGGAGTTTCCACCCCTGCAATTATACAGAGAATATTATAATCAATGCATCAGTTAACAACAATGAAATTATTTTGAAGCAGCAAATATACAAGGAATAACATCAATTTTTGCAAAAGGTAGAGAATGGAAAAAACAGAGGTTGCTGCAAAGCTTAAAGAGTCTTCTCCATTTTATTAGAGATGTTGTTAATTAGAAAGGGATAGAAGCACTAAAACAACAAAAGCAGGACTTCAAGTTCTCAAACATTCTCTCTCAAATTTAATATTTTTTCTATTGAATAAGTCAACTTCACAAGCAACTAATAAACCATTTAGCTTCTAAGTAGATCATAAACCACAAAGCCTCAATAAATCATTAGATGACCAATTATAAAAGATGCTCATCATCCCATGAGCAGAACAGGTGTGTGCATGTGCTAGGCATAATTTTATGAATACTGTGAATAAAATTAAGGCTCTTTGAAAAGTAGGATGAATGGTAGTGTCTTTTCTCTGCCTCATATTGTGTAAATAAGGAGCTGAAAAGGAGAAGGAAGAATAAGCTTATGAAAAATACAAAATGTCTTCAAAAACCCTAAGAGCATGTTTGGTTGATGGAATGGCTATTCCTTGGCAAACTACAAAAATAAGCTAAATTAAATAAAGATCATAGCCTTTTCCATCAAAAAATAAATATATAAATAGAGACCATAGCAAAAAGGGAATACCTATTTCACAGCTATGCCATTTTTCTTCTAATAAGCTAAAAGGAATGGGAATACCTAACAAAATCTCTCCTTAGGTCTTAGCTATTCCTTCCCTCTTCTAACTTATTAGTCATTAGAAGAATGTTAATAAAAGCATGGAATCAAGGTTGCAGAAAGCATTAGGCGATGGTGGGCAGTTGCCCACAGCCTAGAGTGCATAGGTAGTGCCTAGGCAGCCTAGGCAGTTTTTTTTTTTAATAACAATTTTTTGTTATAATTCTAAGAGAATAAGAAAAAAATGTAAAACAATTTTAAAAATCATAAAATAAATAGAAAAATTAAACATTTTTCGATTCATTATTATGTCTAAAGAGCAGAATTTAAGGGAATTACTTGGCATTTGATTTTTTTTTTCATATAATTTTTATAATAAATTAAACAATATCATTTCATTAGGCTAAAAAATTAATAAAAAGCATTTACTCAAGCACTTTAGGTGCCATTAAGCACGCCTAATAGTGCCTAGGCATGCTTAATTGATTTGGGTGGTGCAAACCGCATTGAATTTCTGCAGACAGAATGGCATCGCCTAGAGCCTAGGCTGATGCGGGCAGAATGGCACCACCTAGAGCCTAGGTGCCGCCTAGGCATGCTTTTTACAACACTGCATGGAATAGTCAATCCTTACTTGCAATTATATTTATCTAATTTACCCTATTTTTATAGTTTGACAAGGAAATGATCACTTATTCCACTGACATATGCTCAATCCAACAAGGAATGTGCAACATTTTTGCTACCATTACTGCTGAAAATGAACTAAGGTCATACAAAAAGAAATGAATATTTGCACATTAACCTTTAGAACTAAGATGTGAATCATAAAATTGCATACAAGCGTTTTTTACTGGGTGGGCAATTTGTTTTGTCTACTAGATCCACTAGCAAGAAATTGGAGACATTTTTTTATAATTCATCATGCATATAAACTCAAACATAAACACACGTGCAAATGCAAAACAGGTGCAAGCACATGCAAACATATGCACAGGCATGGATGCACATACGCACAAATGCACAAACACATATTCTACGAGGAAAATTAATCAACACCTTCCACCAGATGTAGCCATATCCAACTACTCCAACAACAATAATTATGCCAAATCTTCGGGTACCTGCATGTGACAAAAACAGAGAAAATACAGTTCATCAAAAATGGAACATTGGTGGAAGAAGAAGAAGCCTTTATCGCATCAATGGAAAAGAGGACCCTTTATTTTGTGCTTATTAGCATGAATCCACTATAGAATTCACCATGGACAATACTTATTGCATATGCAATTTTGCATAGCAAAAGTGCAAGAGAACATCAATAGGCACAAATTCAGATTTAGAACAAGATGGTAGGTAGGCAGCAAATTTTTCCTCCCAAATCTTACAAGGTAACAGGAGAAAGAGATATGCACAATAACCTGTTCCGCCTGCAGTTATGATGGTAACTGATCTGTTTGATGCCAATATTTCCAGCTCCTGCCTTAGGCTATTAACCTGAAAGGGTTAAAGAAAAGAAGGGTTCAATAAAGATCTAAATTTACAAATTCTCATAAAGGCAAGCATCATGCTGAGTAAGATGATTTCTAAACTAGAATGACAAGCATTGAGCAACACAAAAGGTTTGATGAATTTGGACCATCATTTAATCGCTCAGTAAATAAAGAATTAAAATATATGAAGTGTGAGAACCTATAGATCTTATCCTGTCAGTTTGCCAGTTTCATGCTAGCATCAGTTTCAGGTTATAAATGAAATCAAAATATGATAATTGAACAAAACTCCCACCCAACCAATAACTTATTAGGATTGAAGAGATGTGAAAAGAAATCAATCTTTACTCATATGCAACCTTCTATCATCTTCAGAACAGGCAACAAAATTATTATTAACAGACCTTAATAAGTAGGCCATGAATTTACCGTCAAATACTGAATTACTGATTTTTCATCATGTCTCCACCCCAAAGAACAAGTAAAAGAAAAGAAAAGAAAAATCTTGCACTATTCAATTAACATTTAATATTTCAACATATGCATTCAGACAAACAAGAACTGCGCCAAAGATCAAAAGTCATTCCTGTGATACAAGGTAAATAGGTTTACATTGAGAATCAATATAAAATGAATATTAAAATGCAAACCTGAGCCAACAGAGCTTCATTGACAGGCTTCTTAACCGATGAAGGAGAACTATCTTGTTTAAGTTGCTTAAAAATCATCTGTGATAAAAATAAAATAAAATAAAATCACAAGATAATAATAACATGATTTATATTGACAAAACTCAAAGAATTTAAGGTAGGTTATGACGAAGGATAGTTAGCTAATTTTTTGGTCATAAAATAAACAGGGCAAAAGAAAAGAAGCAGGAGGTACAATAAGTGATTAGTTATTTGAATTATAAAACAACATTGAAGAGAACCACAATAAGGAAAACATGCTACTTGATTCAGGTCATTACTAACAAAAAGGCAATGGAATCTTTAATAAAAAATAAAAAGACAGCAAAGAGGCAAGAGATTGAGACCCAGAGACCAACAGGTTGAAATCCTTGAAAGGTTCTACAATTAATCCCAAATACACACAATATTTGGCAATGATCAATCATTGAAAATTAAAAGGCCACTCCAAAAATGTATGACCTAATTCTACAAGTTTAAACAAAACTGAAGTCACAGCTACATCCCCAAGATTTTGTTTTCACAATCAGATTTCAAAAAGTACCCACATACAATTGTCTAATATCTGAGAAAATGATTGCTACACCAGAAATCATTTTTAAAAAAGTTGGTTCATCATCTAACCATCTTCCATTTTCCAGCCAAAAAGAAAGCAAAATTTGCTAGGAATTATACTATACAGACATAACAGTTTCCTCCCACCCCCAGATACATAACAATAACAGAACCAAGCCATTTCTGAGTCACAATATACACTGAAAAAGAAGATAATAGGAACTTATTTCACACGTTTCCAGGGGAAAAAGAAAGAGGTATGTAGTTTATGGGAAGAAATACCTTTGCAGCACCATTGACAAGATCAGACAGACCCCCTTCTTTTGCAATCATTGAGCCAAGAATACCTAAAGAACAAGACAGCTAATTTGGTCACCAAAGTAGTTCTTTATAGTGAATAATGCATAACCAATTCTGGAGCAATACTTCTCATCTAGAGTGGAAGTCCATTGTTTAAAATCAAAGGTGACAAGGAAAAGAGCGTTAAATATGAAAATAAAACTATATATGCTTATTATAAGCATTCTTGTTGAATAAAATCACATCCAATCATCACCTTTGACTAATTTTGACTTAAAACTTTGAGGCACATGTTGCTTAGAACACGCATGTGAAGATGTAAGACACTAGTAATACAAAAAACCTACAGGTTGAGAAATGTCTTCAATATGCACAATCAACAATGTGTTTGAGAAGTGAATAAAACTCCCAGCACACATATTTCTCCTCAAAATTAAGTCAAAACGACACTCTAATTGAAAAGATAAACATGTTATAAGAATTTCCATTTATTTTATACATAATCCCAAGCTTCTGCCCCATGTACAAATGAGTTATGACTAAATTCAAGATTTGTTTTTGTACAGACATCTACCTTTTTAAACAAACAAAGCAAATCACATCCACACTTCAGCACTTTCAGTGTAATTCCAGTTTGAGAGTTAAACTATCCCACCAAACCACAGATAAAATCACATTGATCTTCTTTTCTAACAATTTCTCAAAGGGCACTTCTGTCAGGTAAAAATATGTTTTACTATATTACCTTCATTCTCTAACTCCACACAATCCTACAGTCAACACATACTTAGCTTCCAATGCACTATTTTAAACACATATCTAACCCTAACACATCTTTAGATAAAAATGACCACTAATTTCACCACTAAAACCCATATCCCAACCACAGCAGCAAATGGACATATATTATCAAAATTTGCACCAAACACATTAAAACTTCACAAGAACCAAGTTTTATCTAAAACCCTAAACCCCTCAACTCTAATAAAACCCCACCGATGAGGGACAAAATCGCATACCCTTACACCATAATTAAACAAGAAACTAGCTTTGAGTCAAAGGTGAAGATAAAAACCAGAGTGGTAGGATTGATTGCACGTACCTGCACCAACACAAACGGTGACCTTGATGATGAAACCAGCCATGGATGACAATGACAATGAGTGTAAGTACGGTGTTGTACAGAGTTGAGACTTCTAGAACAACAACATGAGAAAAGAAGAATTAGCAAGTAAGGAATACACTCCTCCTTCTTCTTGGCTTATTTCCTCTTTTCAATTTCACTACCTCTCTGAAGCTTTCAAGTGTTCACAGGTTGACTGGACCAAAGAGGAGTATAGGAGTCGAGGGAAGAATCCTATTTGCTGATGAGGCTGTCACAGATGGAAAAAGAGCAAATATTTCAAATTTAAAGCCTTAGAAGCATTTGGATCATTGTCATGCCCCCACACTAGGAGTGGAACAAATGTCATACACCTGTGAGAGGGTCCCACAAGTGTATAAGGCTCAAAACCGGTTTGATATATTATGCAAAAATCCATATCTTCTAATAATCCGCTTAATCCATTATAAAATAAATATCTCACATAATCTAAAATTTATAATCAAATATCTAAGCAAGTCAAATTATGTTTAAAACTCCAATATCATCTTAAATCATTTGAATGACCATGTCTAAATCCAAAATTAGTCACAATCCAAGAATCAGCAAAATAGTCATTTAGCATGTGACTCACCTTGATCCCCAACGTCTCTAGTCTCATTACCTGAAATGGTGGACAAGAAAAACAATGTGAGATAAATCTCAATAACTAAACTACAGATGTCCTGCATATTTAAAATATCATGCCAAGTTTATGTAAACATAAAAGAGTGTTTCAAAAGAATTATCGGGTATTAAAACCAGGTAAGGTCTCCTCAAGAAATCATGACCAGCATTTTAACTCCCACTAGCAAGATGAACAAGAATAACCAGTGTTTTTACTCCCCCTGGCAGGATGAACAGGAATAATCATAATGTACTAGTACCACAGGTATAACATGTCAACATGGCACGGTGGTTTTACTCCTACTGGGAGGATGAACAGGAACCATGACATAATTGGAAACAAAACAGGCTAGTAATCATACGCAACATAAAACAGGTTTCAAGTTCTGGCAAATATGTCAGAAAAATATGCTGATAATGACACTCTTAAAAATTAAACAATATCTCAAGTAAAATCAACATGGCATGATCATTTCTATTCAACATAATAAATGGATCTAAACAAGTATGTGTCATGCAAAAGTCATAAAACGGGTTTTTGTCCTGCCACCATCTCAAAACATTTTAAAACATGCTTTAAAACCTCAGTTTACAAATCTAGGGCAAAACCATAAATTTACTTACCTCACATTGCACAAAACAGAACACACAAACTAAGTGCTAAAGTGACAGAATGATCAAGAACCTAAACAGAATATTCAAGAATTAATAACCATACTACCAAGGATCCAAAAGTGAAATCACCACCTTGACTACCCCCATACCATGACACCATTTATATCAATCTCCACATGACCGGACATCTCTAATTTTGTCCTCATATAGAAATTAAACATGTGGTCCTTTCTATTGTTGCCGGCATATAACCCATAATGTATTTTTTTTGTTAATGTGGAACTAAATAATTAAGATACATTCCAGAGCTACTTACTCATACCAGTATTTGCTCTAGACTTGCTTATAACTCAACTAGGAATAACAGGCACTACCCAAAAAGAATAAAATAGAATCTAGTGTGTGTATATATATGTCATCCTTTTCATATAAAAAGACTAGGATTAATCTATGTATATCATCTTTTGATTAGCCCTTCCAGAGTTTGAGCACTACAATCAGATTGTGTACGTATATATGTACACAAACACACGCACACACACACACATATAGCTTCCCAATCCCACCGACAAGCAATGGAAGAACATGGCTTTCATTCAATTATTTGCCTTTGGCAAAACCGTAGCTAAGACACGGAATATTTATATAGAACATTACAGCAGCCAATCAAGATAGTTCTACATGAACCAAGCTTAAAAACATGTTTTACTGCTGCCGAAGTTCTTCCACATTACGGCAGAGAAATCAAACGGTACAGGGGGCAGCAACTAAATGGATTAAAATTCAGACTTAGAGAAGTAGTCACATACCAGAATTTCCAGCAAGAGAAATCAGGTCTGGTGGTTATAGAAATTGACAGAATTGAAGAGGAAACTATGGAAACTACCCCGAAATTGAAAGAAACAAAGCATTAGAGTTAACCCAATTCAAATCAAAAGATGAGAGATGAATACGTGGCTGATTCCTTACCAGAAAACTCGAAAGAATCACAACCACACAGCAGTAAACCGCGGACAAAGGAGGAAGGAAATACAGCAGCAAGCTCTGAAATTTTACTTCATATCTTGCACTGTTAGAGGAATTTCTAGGTCCCAAATTCGCTCTTTAATGAGAAAAGAAAAGGAATAATCAAGTCCTTACCTTGATTAGAAGAAGAAATCGTGTCGCAGGAAACAATAGGTTGGCGGGGTTTAAGAATGGTTTCCGGAAGAGCATAAACAAGGAGAAGGGTTTAAATCCTGCATTCTTTTAGTCCGACTGGAATTCCACTTCCTAGGTTCTTATTAAACCGCCAAGATTGCATATCTAGACAATTAGGTCCTCTAATAAAATCCCTATTTAAATAAGTCATCTCTTCCCTAGTTTATTTAATTATTTATTATTATTATTATTATTATTATTAGAAAATAAAAAATCAAGACATCCTGGTATTAAAAATGTCAAGAAATCTAATCATAATTATTAAATATATGGAATATAGTGTGAGTTTTAATTTTATCAAATTTATTTTGTGGCTATTATTAGATATCCTAACATTTTTAACACAGGATGTCCTGATTTTCTCTTTTTCCTATTATTATTGTTACTTATAATTAATTGTTTCACATGAGCCTTCGTGAGAATTTAGGTGCTTGGAAAATTTTGGGGTATTATAGACATGAAAAACAACAATACTAAGGTTTCAATAATAGGTGAAACAATCCCGTAGTAATCTAGTACAAATCCAACAATAGTGCAGTCCACCTCTTCCACCTTTAGATGTAGGAACTTTGTAGACAACTTGGACAGCGACAACTTGGACGGCTTCAGCAAGCCACACAACACTAGTGATGAATGTTGGACTTAGGGTTAGGAAAGAGTCTTAGGGTTAGTAGGGGTGGCAAAGGTGGAAGGCTGAAAGAAAAGGAAAGGAGGGAGTGTGAGGCAACAGCTTAGCATAGAGGAAAGAGTTTTAGAGTGAGTTAAGGACTTAGGGTTCACGGGGGCAACAAAGTTGAAAGGTCGAAAGGAAGGAAAAAGAAAAGAGGGAGTATGAGTTGACAATACTATAGTAGCTAAATTAATTCATTAATGATGAGTCTTAGGGCTAGGGCTAGAATCATTAGAGATATGGTTTAGGTTGGGTTGACTTAAGTAATTGAGCTAAAATTAATTTTTATTAAGTTGGGCTTGTGTTTAATTTGTACTGGGTTGGGTTAAATTTAAAATGAAATTTTTTTTTAATTTTCTATAGAGAATAGAGGTTTTTGCAAGAGAAATTGCCACCCTTATGGATCGACTTTTTTTTTGGTAAATGGCAAAAAAAGGCATATGTCAAAAATTAATATTCCACATTTCTCCTTGTATCAAAGTTATCAAAATGTCCTTTTGTTTTTTTTTTTTTTTGCCTTCCAATGTCCTTTCTGTTGTGGGTAGGTAATAGTTATCTACCAAAACATATTCTACTTTTAGATGCTTATCTTGGATTAAATTCCAAGTTAGTCCCTAAACTTATTTTGTTTTTTCATCCAGACTTCAAGTTTATCTTTGGTTAATTAAGCTCCTATATTATGGTATATTGGGCAATTAAGAAGTTGACAATGATTTAAGTGATCCCATACTAATCTCCTTCTAATTGAGGTCTAAGGTTATTGCTTAAAGTCATAGACATCCAGATGGAAAGCAAATGGGTTTGCTCTTATTATACAAAAATAAATAAATAAATAAAAGACCCAAGTTGAAGAGGAGATATCATATAGCTTTTACCCAATGCTCATTTGACCAAACTTTTTTTTGAGGATGTATCTAAAACTTCATATTTTAATTAATATTTTCAAAATTAAATATGAATTAAAATTTTTATTTATATAGATTATGGATGTTAATTTTCATATTGATCTAATACTTATAACATTTCGATTAAAAAACTTTTTTTACTACATATAATTAATAGTGTTAAATTGTGTAATCAACAAATTGGTTAGGCTAACTAGATCAATCTAAAAATTAACATGCATAATTTATATAAATAAAACCTTCAATCTGACAATTAGATTTTAAAAATATTAGTTAAAAATAAGCTTTTAGTTAGGTTCTTCAAAAAAAAAAAAAAAAAAAAGAATTTTGAAGACAACTTACAAAATACTTTTCCTTAAGCTAATTGCACTTTTCTTTAAAATAATTTTATTACAAGTTATAAAGTTAAAAATTTTGAAGCTTTTGGTAAGAAAATTTTTGGATTTAGTAAATGGGTTTTTCTAAGAACAAGTTAAAGGTGCAATTGTTGTATACTTTTAATATTAATTAGTATTAAAAAAATAAAAGTTGATCTTTATTTAAACAACCATTTAATTAAAATATTTTGCGTGACATTGATAATAAAATTAATGATAATTTTTGTATTTTTCAATATTAATTGATGTTAAAAAGGTATAATACTTATACCTTTAAGTCACAAATTAAAAAAATCTTTAGTAATTTTGTCCTATTAAAGTTACCTTATACCAAACAGGCCCAAAATAAAAGATTAAAAGAGACTTTTTTCTAAATTGGAAGGTACAGTTAAGATTTAATCTAATTACCTTCTCTTTTTTAAAGAAAAAATTTAACAAAAGTAATCCAAAATAATACAATCTAAATAATATTATATACTTTTAACTCTCGAGAGGACTCCCAAATTGAAAGTGAGCTAGCATTTTCAACCCACTAAGCAAGTTGATGGTCTTTTTGTATTTTAATAATATGTTTAATTTAAGAGGAATAGATAAGCGTGGAATTGAAAGATGTTGTATCCTTCTATTTTCATCCCCTCCCCTCCCCTCATATCCATTTATTTGGATAAGTAACAATATATTTGGATTCAAAGGAATGGAATTTATTTGGTTATAAAAAAAATTGGAGGGGAAAGGAGTGGAAGAAAATCTCTGTTTTATTTTTTCTTTTAATTTATTTAGTTATCTAAATGAGAGAAGGGAAGGGGAATGGAAGTATACAATTCTCCCTTCCCTTCCCCTCCTCTTCATTCCCCTCAGCCCAAACATACAGTAAATAAATCAAAAAAAAAACAAAGAGTTTCTTTCCCCTCTCATCTCTTTCAATTCTTTTGATAACCAAATAAAGGAAAATTTTTTCATTTCTTTCCATTTTTTTCAACCTAAATATACCATCAGTTTTTTAGTGAGTATGTTTGATTTAAAAAAATAAAATAAAATGATACAACAATATTTTTCTATATTTCTCCCCTCCCCTCCCCTCCCTCAACCCAAACATTCAGTAAAAGAAGAAAAAAAAATATTGTTAGGAATAAATAAAAAAATAAAATATATAAAAAAATGCAATATTGATTGTTCACAATGTTTAGTACTCTTTTCATTTTAAAATAATTGTCATTTTTTTATTTTGATCTTAAACTTGTCCCATATTAATTGTCTTTCTTTTTGACAGCATACAAATTTTTTTCCCATTTTAACACTATCATTATCTATATACTGTAATTAATTATCTTATCACAAAAAGTCTCTCTTTATCTTTTAACTTTTTTTCTAATTGTAATATAGATCAATACATAAATTCTCCTTAAAACCTTATAATATGTTTGGGTTGAGAAGAATGGAGGCGAAAAGAGAAAAAATCAGAGTTTTTTAACTAATTAAATTATAATATTTTTAAATATTGCAACCTAATTTATCAAAAGATCTTTCCATCTTCTCCATTCTCCTCATATCAAACATAATGTCAAAGTTAAAAACATTAGTAATTTTAAAACAAAATGTGTAGTTTTTTTTTTTTCTCTGTTTCTTTTAGTTGCGTGAAACAAAATGAGTATTTCAATTTACTTGATTGATATCTATTTTTCCATTGATAAACAACCCTCCAACCAAAATACTCCTTAAACTCAAAGAAATTCCTTCTTCAATCACAACGGTATGCCATTTCCCACCTACAAAATTACCCTTCAAAGTAAAAAATTTCTTCTTTGGCATGCCATTCTTGGGTCTCCTATTGCTCATTGGAGAAGTGGGAGAAAGGAAGAAGAAGAGAGTGATGAGAGAGATAGGAAGAGGCTAGGACTCGTCTTTTTTATTATAATATAATATTATATATATGAAGAGAAATCCATTTACATACAAGTCTTACATATTACAAATACAAAAAATATTGACCATTCATCTTTCTACTTTTAATAGTTAAGATTTATCATAACTTTTTAGATAAAAACATAATTATCTTTAGGTTAAACCCCTATTTTGGGCCCTCAACTATTGTACGAACCCCTGACTTAGTCCCTCAACTCAAAAAATCCCTGATTTGGTCCCTTTTGTTTACCATTTTTATCCCAATTTAGTCCCTCCATTAAAAATCCAGTGACGTGTCTCGTTAATTAACTGAAGCATGATGACATGTCAAAAATAATGTGACACATCAGATGCACGCATGAAAAAAAAATCACAACATGACAAAAAGTGATGACATGGAAAAAAAATAATATGTCAAAAAAAACTTTAAAAATTCTTTTTTATTTT